TTTTATATAAGTCCAGACATTATTATACTCCATATAATTTTAGATATTATGATTACATTTTTAGATGTCATCAAACTTTTGTAATTTTACATGTTATTATACCTTAGGTAAATTGTAGATACTATTTTACTTATATCTTAGACACGGACTATTTCATCTGAATTCTACCTATGATTTTGTGCAAGGTCTTATATATGTATCCTAAACATGTATTAAATGTTATCTAAAGATTTCTTAGTTTTATAAGTGAACATAGGTCACTCATGAACAAATTTCTTGTACTGGTCTAAGACTGTAATAAACTGTGAACTTGAAATTCTATGTACTAAGTATGTAGTTCATGAGAATAGTATCCTCTGAAAATTTTAGTTTTTGTCACACAGTCAATATATAGTCCACTACTTTCTCCCAAAATGTAGTAAGTATAGGACATTGTAAAAACATGTGTTTTAAAGAAGCATTGTCCTTACTACATCTCCAACAAAATGCTTCAAAGGAATAAAAGTCACCAGAGAGGAAGAAAACAACACACTACCCTTCTTGCATATCCTCATCAGCAGAGGAAACATCAGCAAATTAGAAACTCAAGTCTATTGGAAAACAACCCACACTAACCAAGTACTCAATTTCCAAAGTTGCAACCCAACCTCCCACAAGAGGAGCTGTGTAAGAACATTATTCCAATGACCGCAAACACACTGCAGCAACCCAGAACAGCAGAAAAAGGAAACAGAACACCTATACAACAGCTTCCAACAAAATGGATATCCACGCAACTTTATCAAAAGGTGCCTGACCACTCAACCTACTGCAACACAACCAACACAAGCTGGAAAGGATAAGACTGCCATACATCAGAAATGTCTCAGAAACAACCAACAGACTATTACAACCACATGGTATCTCTGTAGCACACAAACCAACTAAAGCCCGCCAAAACATCTTAAGCAAACCAAAAGACCCAGTAGCCCAAGAAGAAAAAACAGGACTCATCTACACCATACGGTGTAAGGACTGTAACAAACACTATGTAGGACAGACAGGCAG